ATTTAAACGGCCATTTTGTTTTTCTAAAGTTTAACTATAATATATCGCGCTAGGGGAAGCAAGCCACTGCCTTTCTGCGTTTGCAAAATTTCAAAAATGCTTATGGTTTCATTGCAACAAATGTTTAAAAAAGGCCATTTTTAGGGTTTTGGGGGGGTATAACTTCTAGAGGGGGGGAGATAGGTAAAAATTTTGTTCTACGGAAATAAGTTTCTAGTGAAGATCTATGTACGTATGAAATTTCAGCTTTCTATCTTAAAGGGTGTAGAAGTTTTGTAAACAAAAAAAGTGTCCACGGACGGACAGAGTGAAACTAATAAGCACTTTTTTCAAAAAATTTTTTGGAAAAGTGCTAAAAACTGCAAAACTCCGTTTTCAAAAAATATCCTTTCTTATGAAAGTTGTGTACTGAAATAGAAACGAAAAACAAAAATAAACTTTTGACAGTTTTTTACCTGTACTAAAATACTGATTTTGACAATTCAAAAAATTGCATTGCCTTTGTTAATTCATAATCTCTACGAAAGGAATTTGTGATCATTTAAAAGTCTACGTCGTAAATAAGTTCGTAATTCGTAGAATTCTACAAGTTGAATTCATGATAGGGCTGAATGTGTAAATATGTAAATAATTAGCCTTATTTTAAAGCTTTTTAAAGTTTTGGTCATAGTAAATGAAATACGACTAAATACAAGAATATGTGAATATTTACATATCACTAGGCCAGAACTTTCATATAAAAATGGCACAGATCCCTTTAATTAAATATGTATAATTTTTTTAAATTTTATAATTTAACTATTATTTATTTATTATTAATATGACTATTAAATTAGAAATAATTTATAATTTAAAATAAAATTAAAAGTTATTCCAGTGCATACAACCACATCCAAATTCATATATGTACATACATATGTATTTGAAAAATAAACAAACTGCTTTATTGAATATTGTACATTTTCAGATTCCGGATGATTTAGTAATGAGTATAATATTCTCTATCATCGTTTAGACTTAAAAGAATAAAAAATGGGTTAAACATTTGCTTAGAAGTTGGTGTCTTTTACTACTTACTAAAAATTGCTAAAAATTTCATACGGAATCCTTAAGAAAATATAGTTATATTACCAACGCGTATATAGTTTAGAGTACCGTACAGAAGACGAATTTTGTAAATTCCCAACGAACTTCTTTTTTGAGGGTTGCTAGTGAGTGTTAAGTGTTTTAATTTTAAATAGTGTCATACAAAGAAAGTAGTTTTATTGTGTTACCCAGCATTTACACGTACAAGTTACTTGCAAGAAAGTTGCAATACATACAAAAATTTTACTAACACATTGAAATATTTCTACTTGCTTGTTTACTTGCAGTTCAACTTGCAAGAAAATTTTGCTGCCAGTAATTTGAGCAAGTAATTTGACATATTGAGAAATTCACAAAAAAAAATTTGTTGTTTTGATTTTTTTTTTTTTAATTTAAAATTTTTGAATTTTGTTTTGAAAAAATTAAACTTAGCAAACTTATGGTTTCTAAAATTTATAAACAATTATATATATTGCTAGTTGTTTTCTTCTCAAAGACATTTTCAAAAATTAACTTGCTAAACGCCTACGTCATAATAGCAAGTAATTTGACATTTCGAAAAACTAATTGACAATTAATATTATACAAACTTGCATGCAAGTAACTTGTATGTGTAAATGCTGGGTAATCGAAAAATTACATTACCTGTGTACATATATGTATTCCTTTTCTGAAGTGGTACACAGTTTCAAAGAAATATTTAATATTATTAAATTTTATAATAAATTACAATTACTTATTTTTAATCTATGTAAGATTTTTTTATTTGATTGCTTTTTTTAAGTTTCTTAGCGAATAGTATTCAGCTGAAAAGAAAATGTAGCGTGTCAAATTCTTTTAGCCAAAATAAACATTAATTTAAAAAAGTTATTTTAAAAAAGAAGGTTTGTAATTTAAAAAGGTTATTTCGCAAACTTCTTTTGTATTATTTCGACTGATGACATATATCATGTGAATATGCATATTTATTTTTCTTAATTTAAAATTCAAATTACAAAATATCGGTTGCTAAATTCCGTCAGAAAAATTCAAAAAACATGCAATTTTTAACGCAGCCAAAACCGTTCTTGTCTTCCAAATGGAAGGATACTAGTGATGCGTACTATCGAATAAAAACTATCTGTTTATTCGATAGTTGTAAAAAATTCATTCGATAGTTTTTTTCTTTTTAAAAAATTCTAAAAGCAGACGCGCAAGCGCACCATACAAACTACAAAAGTAATATACTTAATTTATATACTTAATTCAGTTTAGTACCTTCAACCTTGCTTTTACGAAAGAGAAAAAAATGCATTAGTATGATATGAAGTCACGGATCTAAAAATACATGTATTATTAAGATTCATGCGAAAATCTGATATGTAATCGTAGTCTGACATTAAATAAAATCTGATGAAAAACAATAGAAATATATTCGATTATCATGACTTTCTGTCGGAATTTGAAAAATAACATGGCTGAAAATAAATTTTTAAAAAAGCCATAATCTGAATTTTGTTTTTTTTTTTCGAAAATTTTGATATTGCATTATAAAAGTGTGAAACTTAGAAAAACCCATTTGCAAACCCATTTTGGTTATTTTATCCTAAAAATCAAGATCTCATTCTAACTCAAATAAAAAGAATACACTTTAGACAGCCAGATTGGTCATATTGTGACACATTACAAACATTGTCGTCCACAAAAAAATTCATATAACGAGACAGAAACTTCAAAGCAAAATAATAAAATTGTTTTTTTTTTTTCCTAATTTTACGAATAAAACTGTTTTCTTTTAATATTTTTACAGCACTTAATTTTAATCAATAATCCATAGACTTCAGTGCTCAAGAGGAAGCGGAGAAAGGCTTTTCATTGTCCCTATCTCTCTTCAGCAATGTATAAGCTACAGAGCATAACTAATGCTATATATAAGTATGTATCAGGTCACCAAGCTCAGAAAGTAACTCAAAAATAATTTTCTAATTTATATGGAGTTTAAATGGAAGAGGTGTCGGAAATTATTTGTGTGAGGGAAATTGGTTAATATTTTAGCTCTACTTATTCTACATATTTATTTTAATTTAAAACTTAAATTTCAAGGAAATGGATTGGTAAATTCCATCTGAAACATGCATTTAAAAAAAAAATCATATGCTGAAGGGTACTGAATGTAAGAAATTAATAGATTTTAAAAGGAAATTGAAAAAAAGCAATACCAAAAATATCGTAATCTAAATCGCTTTTAAAACTATACTAAATAAATTGAGAGTTGCAAAGAATTAATGTCTTTATATCTAACAAGTCCCAATGCTCAGAGAGAAACTTGAAAGCACGATCTTATTTGATATGGGTTTTTTTAAATCGAAGTGGCTATTTTTTGAGAAGAAATATTAACATAAATTCACACTTACATATTATAAAGCAGGTAAAATTTAGAAAATATATTTGAAAAATCAAAAAAATATATTAATATTTTCATTGATAATTATTTTAAAATTTAAAAAAAAGCGGAAAAACAACAAACACATCCTTCGCCTTCAACGTTTTATATGTTACTGAAAGCATTTCATTATTTTTAAGTGAACAGCTTTTTTTTCTCATAGGGTAAGTTAACTCAAGATATGGGGAGTAACTGTGGTGTCAAGTTGAAAATATAATTAATGAAAGATAATTCTTAAATATTGATATAAATACATAGTAAAGAAAAAATTTGAAGAGGGAATTAGAAAATAATATCTAAAATACAATCAAATATTATTTGTTAAATACAAATTTTATATAAACTTCAAAATTTTACTATTTTTATTTAAAAAAATATTAAAAACTTACTATCATTTATCTCAATTACCTAAGAAAAAAAAATATTTAAAATGTTTGGAAAAAACAATCATATATTTTTATGACCGGATTTGAATATTTTTCTATTTTTGAAATAAATGGTATTTTCCCAAATGACTCAAAAATTCCGACTGTAAAATAACAGGTATTTTAAAATTTTTGTTCTTTATGTAATATTCTTTCCGTTTAGAATTAAGATAGGTCATACATACACATGCAGGGACATTTTATAAATAAATTGCTCTTGTTTACCTGCTAATAAAATATGAAAAAAGAGCACAGCAAAATTTTTGAAGCACTCAATATAACATGTTTGAAATAGTTTTAAAATAATTATTTAAAAAAAATTTATTGGAAGTAGGTACATACATATTTATTTTTAATAACTTAAAAACTAACTGAAATTATTTGAAACAATTTTATAAGTAACGTATAAATAACCGAAATGAGATAATTCAAATTGTTGAAATGTGTCAACCTATATTACTTCTAATAACATTTTTGTTAGCCGACACTACTCAACTTACCTTATTGGGAAATACAAAATGTGCATGAAAAATCATACATCCTTCCTCATTAACATATGAAACCATACTGAAACATGAATTTCAAATTTTTTATCATTTTTTCTTTCCTCCTGCCTTTCTTTCTTTTTCGTGCAATAGAATTTAAATGGGAAGCTTTTTAAAAAATGTGTATAATATCCTGAGATTTTTTAAAATATTAAACTCTTTTTTACGTAAAAAAAAGAAAAAAATAATAAAAATTATGACACAATAATTTTGTGTGGCATTTAAAGAAAAAACCAGCAACGAAGCCAAAAATTCGTAATATTTCGTAAAAAAAATTTAGTATTGGGACTTGTTAGATAAAAAGACATTACAAAGAATACTCAAAAAATTCACAAAAAAAGAAAAAAAAAATATTTCAAATGGAATATTTCGAAAACAACAAGATTTGTTTTTGTAATTTTTTTCCAATTGCAAAAATTTCGAAAATAATTTCACCTTGGTGGCTTGATAGATATATATGGTATTAGCATAATATAAAAAACATAGCTTTTGATATAATTTTAAATTTTTTATTACATTTTATTGTTTTTAGAGTTTATTATTTTAAGACTGTTATGGTTGAGTTTCACTAAATTAAATCTAATCTAGATAAATAGACAAAAATAAATTTCATTATTACACCTTCTTTTATTTTCAGAATAAGATTAAAATACGGCTAAATTTATGTTTCAAAATTTATTGTAAATACATTCATTTCATATTATAAGAATAACTTCATGCTAAGATCTTTCATTAACTAAATTTAAGCTGCTTGTGTATCTGCAACTTTTCCACCAAATTGCTTGGTCATATCATCTGGATTTGCCAATGGATCAAGCTCAGAAAATAAATCAAACCAAGAACAGTTTTTGATATTTTTGTGCATCTTTGAATCGTTCTGGTCAACAGTACGCTTTACGTAGTTAGAAATAAAAAGGGTGGCATCACTACTGTGACGTGAGTTTTCATTTGACGCTGATGGTTGCTGTGCAAAATGATTGAATGCGGTGTCATTATTGCTTTCAACGTTTTCTGTTACGGGTTTCAAGCTAATTTCATTATTAAATTCATTAGATATCTCAAAAAAATTAAAAGATATGTCATCTAATAAGACACAGGGAATGTCATCATTACTTCTATCAGAACCATAATTATGTCCAGCGTCACAAAACAGTGGTGAATTCTAAAAAAAGATAATTATCCAAAGTTACTAAAAATCTTCAAAAAAAATGTTAAGAAAAATACAATATAATCATTTATTTTTTAAAGCTATCGAATAAAAACTATATGTTTATTCGATAGTTGTAAAAAAAGTCATTCATTCGATAGTTGTAAGAAAAACATTCATTCGACAGTTTTTTCCTTTTTAAAAAAGTACCCTATTCACATACCTAATTCAGCTTAGTACCTTCAACCTTGCTTTTACGAAAGGGAGAAAAATGCATTAGTATGATATGAAGTAACGGATCTAATAATACATGTATTATTAAGATTCATGCGAAAAACTGATATGTAATCGTAGTCTGACATTAAATAAAATCTGATGAAAAACAATAGAATTATGTATATCCGATTATCATAAGATTTTCTGTCAGATTTTGAGAAATAACATGACGGAAAATAAACTTTTAAAAAAGCTTTGCCATGTTCAGCCAAATTTTTTTTTTCTAATTTTTGTTGTCAGTTTATAGATTATAAATATTGGGTCGGTTTGATATTTAAATTTTAATTTGAAAAAAATAAAAAAAAAAAAGTAGACGGAAAGTTGAAAAAAACCTTTGAAAACTTTGTAAATAGGTGATAAACTTCAAATTTCAAAATATTTATCAAACATAAACAAATATTTTTTGGTTATATAAAAAACGGAAAGTTCTAATATTAGATGATAAAAGTGTGATACATAGAAAATACCATTTGTACACCCATTTTGTTTTTTTTATTTTATTTTATTTAACACAAATCCGACCGGGACCGGTCAAATGACCATTATTAGATTTCAATTGGAATTTCCTACATTCAAAGTAAACAAATCGCCTTTAAACTTTCTAACTTTTCTTCATATATATGTACGTATGATACATTTTTCAATATTCACTTATTTTTTTAAAGTCTATTTTCTGAGAGAAATTTGTATAGTCTATCTTACCTACCACGACCGGTCATTTGACCGGTGTTACGATTTATATATTTTTGTAATAGTTTTTCTTTAAGACTCAATGCCAAAACTATAAATTCGTTACAAACAAAACGAGAGATAGGCAAAGAAAATCAAGCAATACCCATCACAACTTCAAGTACATCGGAAAACATGTCAGATAAGATATTGTAAAGATAATAAGACGAATAAAATCTATATAAAATGTAAAAAGTACGTATGCGAAAAATGTACAGTGTTAACTTAAAGTTTTGAAAAAAATTATTATTGTTGATCAAATTTTTTTTTTTTAAATAAAACCTTCTGACATAACCAAGAAAAACATATCTTTAACAGCTGTACGGTTTTAAAAGCTTTCCAAACACTAAATTTTACTTCACAAAGCTTGAAAAAACATTGCCGTCAAAAGTTTGACGTAAAGGCATAAATATAATCTGATGTGTAAATGCTCATCAGATTTTATGGTAGATTGAGTCATTGATTTACAGCCTAATCGTCTATCTCACTTTTTTACTCACTCTTTCTTCACTTTTAAATAATTTCCCGTTTTTCTAATGTATGTATACTTAATTTTTCAATTGGATTTTTACATTTTTCTGACATTATCGACTGAACGTCTCACTTTCAAAAACAAAGTAAATAAATTTTGTATTCTTTTTAGAAAAAACGAGATATACAAACCCGAATAATTTCTTTCACATGAAATTTGCATTATACAAATACATATATGGTGGTGGAAAATTACATTATACAAATATATGGTGGTCTCTCACAGTTTTCTCACTTGCCGAGGAAGATAGCGAGATAGACGTCCAACTGCTTAGTCAGATGTGAAACTGGCACCTTATAGTGTCAAAGAAGTAGAAAATCCAAAATAATAATTTTGCAATATATGTTGGTAATAGGAAATTTTGTGTAATTAAATTTATTTTCGAAAATTAATATCTTTACCAAGATCTATGTATGTATTTTCGTACAAAATCTTGAACCATATAGAACTTTTGTAAATATAAATTCAAGTTTAATATTTTTTCTATTTTTATTTTTAATGATGAAGATTTTTAACAGTAATTTGAAAACAAAGTCGGCACAACAAAACCATTCCAAGTGAATAAAGAAACTTACCAATTTATTATTAGATTCATCCTTTTCTGGACATTGTAAAAAATTTTTCAGCTCTTTATAATTATTCTGTGTTTTTGACAGAACTTTCAAAATATCAAATCCGTAATTGGAGTCTTGAGCAAGAGCGGATGATAAGATCCTAAGCGTGTCGGTAGATTTTATGAAGAAGTCTTGTAAATTTTCCATGTAGCTAATTAAAATGTGAGAAAACATATTACATCGAGAAGCTGCTAGAAGATCTATCTAAAATATTATATTAAAAGAAAATTTATTATATTAAAAAATTTTAAACTTTTTGGAGATCTAATGAATATTTTATCCTACCTTTTGGAGACAATCTAATGAATATTTATCGAACCTTTCTTTGGTTTGACGAACTTGTGTTTGAGCTACTCGAAATTTTTCTAACATTCGATTAGAATCTGGATCCAGCATGTTACTAACAGATTTCATCCAACTTAAAGAAGCTCTATAGTTGGTGCGTTGTTTCTCCATTAGAGTAATTGTACTCTCTGTGTCTGCAACTGCTCTTCTTGTAAAAACTTCAATTTCGTTAAAAAACCTTAGTAATGGTGGTCGGATAAGGAATCGTACTTGTCCGCAGTATGAAAAAGATTTTCCACAATTTATCATAACTCCGTCAGTTGTTTGACTATGCTTGCCACTTTCCTTCAAAAATCTACCTAAAGAGTTCTCTTCTTGAGCTAATATGCAAATTCTTTCTTGATATTGGTCAATTATTCTATACAATATATTTCCTTCTATTTGTATAAATTTAAAAAGTTCTATTTTTGCATCTAACTCTGAATCAGAAGCAACAACACAGTCTGAAAGTATTTTATATGTTAATTTAAATTAAGAAAAAATATAAATTAATATTATGTACGAATGTACAGTTATAGTGCCAATTATAAAGAATTTTCCGCTAAGTCATTTAATTCGTTAAAGTAAACATTCGTTTTAACCACCAAAATTATATGAATTAGTGCATAAAAAAATTGGTTGTTTTATCGATAGTTAAAAATCAAATTGAATTTTAGAAATTTTCCAAATTCGTAAAGTATTACTGGAAGCAATTAAAAATTAAGAAAATAAATATTTTTTTAAAAAAAACACATATACGTCTTTATTAACAAAAATCAAAATAAAAAACTCAACATAAACATATTTAATTATCTAATAATTCAATTATCTAATAATTAAGTCAAAAAAAAATATATAATGAAATTTCAAATTTATTCATTTGAAGACAAAAAACGATGAAAATTTTCTTAAATTAAATTACATGAGCAATGGTTTGTTTATTATTACTATTATTTTAATTATTCGTTATTCCTTTTAGTTTTTTTTAACTATTATTTCCTTTCTTGCTATTCTATTTGCATAATTATTAATACTACCTATTTCCCTTAAATTATTTTTTTTTTTGCCAAAGAATTTCATAAAAGACTCTTATTGCTTTAAAATAACTATAAAAAATAAATGTTATTAATGAATCAAATATAACATACTTTTGTTTGGTGTTTCTTAAAGGATCTAACCGCTTTTAAAAATACCTCATAATCTTTTAAGTGCCCATTTTTAAAATTGTTTACATATTATATTAAAATGATATTTTATGAGCATCAGAAAAGGAAACTATTACACTTAAAAGTGTACGAATGACAACCTTACTTAGCGCTAATTAAAAATATTATAATGTCAACAATTTTATATGCACATTAATATTTAGATTATTATTTAAGCTAATTCGAAAAATAATCAACAAAACATGAAGCACTTAAACAATAACACTATTTTTACTTAAATTTACAAATGTGGTAATATAGAAATAAATTTTTTAAATTCAGAAAAGGTATAAACAAAATTTTATTTTTATTCAAATATATGTACCTATGTATGTATGTATTAACATTTAACAGTTTAAAAATTTTTCATTCAAACAAACTACTTCTTTTGATATAAGAATATATAGTTACATCTCCATCCACTCAAAATACTGAAAACGATACAAACATCGTTCATACTGAAAACCCTAATAAGAATAACAAGAATACAAATATTGTTCTTTTAGATTACCCACTAAAATTGTAACAAATTCAATCAAGTTCAATCATTACTTTTTTTCTTTTTATTTTATTTTCTTTTCTTTTAATAATTTTTCTTATATCATGTTTCCAAACAAAATTTATAAAATTTATTGCTTAGAACAATTACATTAACGTGAACGAACGTCCCACTTAAAATCGTTTATGTTGCATTTCATTTTTTCTTATTATTGTTTTTACATTGTGTTTAAAACTAATGTGACGCAATGCATAATGACTAATTATTAACATTTGGTTTGCATATTGAGAAGTATTTTTAAATATTTTCCAATTATTAAAAAGTGTTGTTTTAAAGATAAGCAAAATTAACAATAATTTTGTAATGTGTTCTAAATTAGGAAAAGTATTTTTGTTTTGTATAATTTTTGTAAATTTAAGAACTTTTTAAATTTTTGTAAAATCAATAAAGTTCAGTTTACTTGTTACCAACAAAGCGATCAGTCGATCGAGTTAAAAATAAAAGAAAACCGGTTGTTTTTTTTTTATTCAATTTCATTATTATTTTTTACAGCGCCTTTGTACATTATTGGCGCAGAATCGGTCGGATAAATAAAAAAGGTGTAAAAGATTAAAATTAACAATTAAATAATAAAGATTTCATTATAAAAGTAAACTGAAAAGTGTAGTGAAATAACTACGTGTTTAAGTGTCTATGGATTGATTCGGCACTCAACTGGAAAACACATACAACATTTTTATTTAAAAAACTGTCGTCCGTTGCTGGTGTCTTCAAAAGAATTGCATACTTTTTGCCAAACAACGTGAAGACGTCCGTCTTTTATTCACTTTTCCACAGTCACGTGAGCTATGCTATAATAATATGGGGTGTTTTCTCCAAAGAAAACAGCGATAAGCTTCAAGTCATTCAAAACAAAGCGTTAAAGAACTTGTTTTTCTATAATAGGCTTGAGCATACCGAATTTATCCATAGCCAGAATAGGATATTATTGGTACAAGATTTTATTAAATACAAACTGATCTTGTATATTCACGATATCTCTAATGGTGAATTACATTCTACCACTCAACTTACGGCAAGAAGTGATCATCATGAAATCAATACAAGAAGCAAACAACAGATTTATCTCGCCAAAAAGAACACAACAAAATTTGGAACATCAACATCAATCTATAAGGCAATTAAATTATATAATGAAATTCCTGAAAATATGAAGACACTCGATAATTATAAACTAAAAAAGAATCTTCGAGAAACATATATTAATAATTATAGTAGAGTATCTATTAACTAATTTCTATCAAAACTAATAAATGAATTTAAGATTAGCTTTTTTTTTTTTGCAAAAAAATTTTACAACTAAATTAACTTGAACAAAGTCTATAATTTTTTTTTTCTCACTTTTATTTGCACTTTTGTTTGATACTTAAAAGTAAATGAAGGTTTTGTATACTTTATATTGTTTTTATAAAGCCTTTTTATGAGACTTGTCTCTTTAGGCATTTTTGTAGTTGAAATAAATAAATAAAAATAAATAAATAAATTATAGCAAAAGGTAAAATTTTAAAAATACCGTTAACATTTAAAGTAACTTTACTGACATTTCGGTATTAGAATTTTTGGAAAATAGTAACAACAATAAAAAGAAAACTGTAACTGTTTTTTCTGTGACTGTTAAGAGTCAACAAATAAATATAACAACGTAATAATAAACTTTATTAACATAATTATAAAAATAAAAAAAAATATAAAAGATTAATTATAATAACAAAAAAAAAAAAAATAAACAAAATAATAAGCAACATGGAACAAAAGAATTTGGCCCCATCTCAATTTGATCGTGCAAAGGAAAATAACAACACTTCCACCACGAGCGGCAAGAGTACCTCCAGTATACAGACTCCAACCTCTCGAGCAAGACTGAGTACACCAGAATTAAAACTAACGTTGGACCCGATGAGATATATAGCGGACCTCCCTGTTTTAATGGTAAGTCAGAAGAATTATATAAATTTTCTAGATTTAGTAGAAAATATAATATCACTAATAGAAAAATGTGATCAAAATAGTCAAATTATTTTGATCAGTAGAATTAAAGTCAAATTAACAGTTAGAGCTAGAGAAGTTGTTGAAATAAACAACCATGTTATAAACTGGCTTGAAATAAAAAAAAAATCTAATAGATAATTTTGATGAAAGAAAAACAGCTTTGCAACTTTTCGAGAAATTGTAAAGTGTAAAATTTAGAACAACTAGCGTAGACCTCTATAATGAGATAAAAAAGGTGTTACGTAGATTAAGCAAGAAAATAAAAGATGAGCCAAATGCGGAGGCCATTATCTGAGCCAATATTCAAACTGGGTTGCGAATATTTAAGGAAAAATTACCTGAACCAATGCGTTCAATAATTTTCAGCCGCAACCCAGCCTCATTAGAAGATACTATTGAAGTCCTCTATGAAGGAAATTATGCGGATTTTAACCCGTATAATTCAAATTATCATAAAAATTCTAACACAAATAAAACTTTTTTTAAAAAATAACAGATCATATTACAATAATACTAACACTAATACTAATAACAACAATAGTAAACAAAATACTAATCCTAGTAATAACAACTCAATAAATAATTATAGAATAAGGCCAAATTACTCTACTAAAAAAAGAAATTTTAATAATAACACTGCAAATAATTTAATAATATAATTACAACAACAGTCACAATTTTAATGGTTCTACTAACCGTAATTTTAGTTGTAAAAACTATAATAATAATTCTATTAATAACGTTACGTACGTTGTTTCGCGGCCCCAACCGATGGATGTAGATCTATCACCGTCTACCATTCAGCGAGCGAATAATTTGGAAATAAAAGATGCAGATTGTTCAAACGCTTATACTTGTGCCGAAATTAACAAAGTAGTTTGGAAAATTTTCAAGTATCTGCATAAATACGGTAAATGAAATTGCCATTTACACAAAAATTTACCGTTACCCTGAAGTACATCGCCAAGAGGTGAATAAACAAATTGATGAGATGTTACAGCGGGGTATAATTAGACAAAGTGATTCGCCATATTCGGCTCCAATATGGGTTGTCCCTAAGAAGCTGGATTCCTCCGGAGAACAAAAATGACGTATTCATATTGATTATAGGAAACTCAATAACGTCACTGTAGATGACAGGTTTCCTATACCTAATGTAAACGACATCTTAGATAAATTAGGTCGTTCTATGTACTTTAGAACCCTTGATTTAGCAAAGGGATACCATCAAATAAATTGAAATAGAAAAAGAGGACATAAAAAAGACCACATTTAGCACGAATGGTGGACATTATGAATTTGTAAGAATGCCATTCGGTCTCAAAAATACCCCTGCGACTTTTCAAAATGAACTCTATTTTAAAAGATTTTATAGGTAAACAATGTTATGTTTACCTCGACTATATAATTATTTTTAGTACGAGTAACGAGGAACACTTTGACTACTTACAAAAAATTTTAAAAAAACTTTAAGACGCAAATTTGAAAATACAGTTAAATAAATGTGAGTTTATGAAACAGGAAACGGAATTTTTGGGACATATAGTAACACCAGGGGGAATAAAAAATAATTAACAAATTTGCGATTCCTAAGACCACCAAACAAATAAAAAGTTTTCTTGGTTTGGTGGATTACTATAGAAAATTTATAAGAGATTTCGCAAAAATTGCCAAACCTATGACTATTTGCTTGAAGAAGGGGAAACAAATA